CCTTTGTGTCACTCTGTCAAGATGTTCTGCTCCTGAATCAGCTGGGTGGGTCTTGCCTCTAGCCTCTTTGCAGGGAGTTCTGCTGAAGGGTTCCCTGCTGGATCTGCAGCCTGGGTCGAATGAGGATCCCCGGCCCTCGGTTGTCTCACTCACTCGCCAGGCCTGTGCTCTAGGTCTGTTCAGGATCCTGCAGGCCCCCGGTTGTCTCACTCACTCACCGGGCCTGCGCTCTCTGTTCATGTATTTTTGAGACAGTTTTTCCCTACTCATTTTATTTATTTATTTTTCCTTACTCATTTTGTATTCAGTTCAACTACAACTTGTAGATCACAAGTGGCCTTCCACTTTTATATTATGAAGTCAATCTTCAGAGGATATTACATCACTTCATGCACAATGCAAGAACCTCACAGCAGTGCATTTTTAATTACTGTCAGCCTTTGTGCAGTATATTGATTTTATCTAATTATAAACTCCACAATAGTTTGTTACTCTTTTACAATTAAACATGAAAAAGTCCTATACACACACACACACACACACACACACACACACATATATCATATTTACCTATATACATACACATACATTTTAAGGGAAAAGTAATATTAGAAGTCAGATTTCTTTCATTTTTTAATATTTTGCTAGTACATGTTTACAGTCTGTAATGACTACATTCCTGTGCAAAGTGGATACATGTATGTAACACAGATTCATCCCTTTCTTCATCCCTTTCTCTTCTCTCTGTCTCTCCTTCCTCCATCCCTTCCCATTTACTAAAGACCTAGCTTCCTATTTCCTACTATCTATTTGCTCTTCATATTTTGAGTTTCATATATAAGAGAAGCCATGCAATATTTAAGATTGTGTGTTCGATTTAATTAACATTTAACATGCCTGGCTCTCCACATTTTCCTGAATAGACCCAAGTTTCTCCCTGTATTCCTGTGCCTAAAGAACATCCTTTTGTATTTCTTATAATTAGATCCGCTGGCAATCAATTATGCCAGCTTTCTTTTTTTTCTGAAACCAAAAGCTTATTTAATCACCATCTTTTGAAAGCTGTTTCTGCTGGATATAAAATTCTAGGGTGAAATTTTTTTTAGTTCAATATTTTATACACGCATTGCTTTGCTTTCTCGAAATCTGCATAACTTCTAGCAAAAAGTGTCCTGTAGTGCTCATCTTTGTAAAGTTTCTTTTTATACTGACTAGTTTCAAGGTTTTCTTTGTCTATTTTGTTCTAGGTTTCAACAAATTGGCTTTTTACTTGGAGCTCCCTGAGCTTCTTGGATCTGTGGTGTGATGTATTTCATTATTATTGAAGCATTTTGACCATTCTGTCTTCAAATATTCCTCCTGCCCTGTTTTCTTCCACTTCTCTATACTGTAATGCTGCAAGATGTAGAAGATGTAGGATGCTTTTTATTTTAGCACTTTCCATATATTTCTGTTTGGAAAATTCCTGTTTACCAATCTCAATATTCACTGATCTTTCTTCAGCTGTGTTGAGTCTGACAATAAGAATTATTAAAGGAATTCTTCCGCTCTAATACCATATTGTTTATTTCTAGGATGCCCACATACTCCTTTGTTTTTATTTTTCTTTTAAGATCACCCTTTATTCATGTAATTGTTCACTTTTTCTACAGAAGTCTGTTATTCATTAATCATGGCTATGAAGTTCCTGTCAGTAGTTTCCAGCGTCTGGTCTTCTTTTCCTTGTTTTGTTTCTTGACAGTGGACTGGTGTTCGCTTTCTTCCTGTGGTACTCATTGTGCTAGCTGAGTGGAAATAAATAGTATTTGCACCTAGAAATGAGAATATCACCTCTCTGTCAGACCACCGACTGTAGAGGTTGATTCAATTCACTCAAGCTGAAGTGGGGTTAGGTATCATTGTCACATCAGAACCCTAAACATGTTGGAATGGTCCTACCTTGTGCTTATTGTGAGGGCACCACACCCCTCAGTCTTCATAGCGCCTGTATCCCTGCCCCACAGAGGGTCTCCTCCCTCACACCCCTGCCCCTTCCATGCTTAGGCCGCTATTCCTTGAGGCAGGGCTGTCTGTGTCCTGGTTCCATCACCGTCTTAGGGACAATGTTAAATAACTTTTTTTCTGGTAAGAGGTAGTTAGGTGCTGACAATCTTCCCCGGTTAGATGTCATTGAATACCCAGGAGCCAGAATATTCAAGTTCTTTAGAATTTAAAGAGTGATGCACGGATGTATGGCACCATAAAAGTGGGCTATCCTGGGTTAAGCTGATTGAAATATTTGTTAAGGCAGAATTTGCATAGTCTTTTATATGCTCGGGAGCACTGCGAGGCCACTAGTGGAATAAACTAATTTCCAAACTCGGGTCCTGAAGCAGTGATGTTTCACAGATTTTTCTTTAGACTATACACATCTAGGCAATGAAAATAGAAATAATCGCCCTAGAATTGCCAGGTGGTTCACTTTTGGACCTTCTAAACCACCTACATCGTGCCCCATGCCCCACCTTCTCTCCTGGTACTTCCCAGAATGGACAGCCAGGCTCCCAACAAGGCCGCCCTTCCTCCTATGCCCTGGATCTCCTCCTCCCTCCTCTTCACAAAGAACTCACTCCTCCAGGGCTGCAGAGCCATACGGCTCGCTCTTAAAATCTTTCTGATGAAATACGAGATTCTTTCAGGAAGTCCTTCTTGGCTGCATAAGCAGGCGGCACTCTTGTCCATGCCCAGATAGCACCTGTGTAGTTTCACCGCATTTCTCCATCTGCAAGCTCCATCTTGTCAGTGTACACTTGCTCATCTTGGTTAGAAGCCCCTTGATTTGCATTTTTAAAAATATTTCCCTTCCACTGCTCCAAGAAAATCCTTATGCCTTCCTTCTGTGTATCAGGCATCTCATAGCTGTATTTGAGCAAATACAACTGGTATCTTTGTAAAAGCGTTAGGATGCCCTACCACTCTAAAGGTCGAAGGAAATCTCCTTTGCCTGAGTCCAGTCCTCAAATCCCTCTTCTTTGTGTCCCCCACTCCAGGACCCCTGATGGAGGTGAGGCTGCTGAATGGCACAGGGAGGTGCTCAGGCCGCGTGGAAGTCCTTGTCCAGGGAACATGGGGGACGGTGTGTGATGACCTCTGGGACCTGGCTGAGGCCGCAGTTGTGTGCCGCCAGCTGCAGTGTGGCCAAGCGGTTGCAGCCCCCACAGGAGCCCACTTTGGTGCTGGCTCTGGGAAGATCGTGCTGGATGACGTGCAGTGTGCGGGCAGTGAGCGCCACCTGGGACAGTGCATGGTCGGGGGCCAGGCTGGGCACAACTGTGGACACCTGGAAGACGCCGGTGTAATCTGCACAGGTAAGGGCTGTGAGTTCCCAGGACTTCAGAATTGTCCCATTCAGCTGATATTAACAGAACCATTGGACAGTAAATGGCAAACAGCCTCATGAACCTTGACCTCTTGAGCAGGCGCAGTTGGTTCTCCAGACCTCCATTCTGCCATGAAGCCTGACGCTTCCCTGCCTCCTCACACATTCCCAGGTAGGTCCGATCTGTGTGGGTTGTTTGCTTTTTGTAAACCCCCTCATTCGTTTTTAAACATTTCCTGCTAAAACTCTTTTTGTTAAGTAATTATAGAGCTTTCCTCTGCCAGCAGAGCAAAACTCCATTGCACATCACAGTCAAATGGTTATTAGCATGAAAGGATAAATAGAGGAAATGGTTAGGCAATGGAATAATTACTGCAGTGAGTTTCATTAAAACTTCTCAATTTTTTGCCAATAGTTATGTTAGGAAATGTCAAATATCTCCAAATAATGCATGAACTCTAAGTGAACTATAACTACAAATAAAAACTTTGGAGGGTCACAACTTTATAAAATGAGTGTAAATGACTCATCACAGAAAGGCTTTGATTCAAACCTATAAGAAAGACAAATGCCGGCATGTGATGGAGTGGCAGAGTTTCAGAAGATAGTCATGATTTTTTTCACCTATAATATTGATTAGGAGAATGTGACCAGTTCCCTCAAGTTTGGGGAACAAAGGGGGGGTCAAAAATGACAGGATGGAGATGTCCAGATACTCAGATTATCCTTCCTCATCCCCGGGCACTGATTTTCCAGCGGCTTCACCAATAGGTCTGACACCCGCCCACTGAATTGGTTAAGGCCATTCCATGCGCCACCGTGTGGACAAGTGAAAGATAAAAGTCGCATAACTCATGCTTTTATCTGTCTCATTCTTAAAATCTTATGGCTCAGCCTTTGCTTGATAGTCTAACCATCAAAATGATTCCATAACTAAACATGACCAATAGATTTTTATGAGAGAAAATGACATGGAAAATCATGTCCAGAAGTCATCTACAGATCTTTTTTTTTTTTTGCCATACTGGGGATTGAACTCTAGATCCTGTGCTTGCCAGGCAAGCACTTATTCTACTGAGCTACCCAGGCCCCAGATCCATTTCTTAACACAATGTGTCACCCAGTTCCTAGTGAATACTCAGCAGCTCAGATATTTTCTTAATATCTTATCTTTGTAAAATAGACAAAATGATTATTTTCTGAAAAGGACCAATGGTCATGGCCATCAATAAATTTCAGAACTAGTTTTCTGTGCACTTACAAGTCTAGAATGCTAAAGATGCTTGATTCCTCCAGCCTTCTGCAGTAATTCAGTGACTAAGGTAGAGGGAAAAAAGGAGGTGGGCAATGGGACTGTCTTTCCTGCCCACATTTTTATTTCTGATGATAATGCATGTAGTATCTTCAAAGGGGAAAATTAATTAATGCTATTCTTTGTCTCCAGCTGAGATTTGGACAATTAAGGAAATAAGAGAAAGGAGAGAGAGAGAGAGAGAGAGAGAGAGAGAGAGAGAGAGAGAGAGAGAGAGAAAGAGAGAGAACAGAGACCAAAATGACAGGCCACCTGGGGTAAAGCATGGAGCTCCCTTGAGGGCTGCCTGTCTAGGAGGAGCAGAGCAGACCTGTGCTCTGAGGACAGGCTGACTTCCAAATAGCAAAAAGGGCAGAACCAGGCAGCGGCTTGCATGAGCTACAGTGAAGAAGGAAGAGGAAGAGCTAGCATGTCATGGAAAGAAATATCATGCGGGGCAGAGTGTTACACCCTGAGAGGTTTAATTCAGTGTGACTATTCTACTTCTCTAATTTTTCACACTGTTAGGACATGCATCATCACGCGTGCTTCCTTCCCCTGAATCTGTGGCCCTGCAGTTCACACTCGGGCCAGAAGGTGAGTCATACAGAAAGTTTCTTAGTGCTTGCGCTTGGAGTGGAGAAACGGGGAACAGCAATGATAACCCCACCCCCACAGAACCCCACATACATCTGCATGGGAGACTGTCCCATCATTGGGTCCTCATTGCCTCTTCTCTTCAAGGAAATGCCACTAAGAAAGTGATACTTTTTCCACTCTCTATTTGAGTACACTGAGTCAGGGAAGTCTAACACAGCCAATCTGCTTTGTCCTGGAACTAGTACACGGAGAAGACTCTGTTAGCCAGAAGTAGGAAGACCATGACATTAACACAATAAATGTTTCATGTGTGGTTACATTGAGAGTGCTAAATATCATGTAACTTGAATGTATCTAATTATTTTAAAAAGTATTTTTTACTTCCATTTTCTAGTTTTTTCTTCTACATGCATTATGTTGTAATTAATGCAAAATGCATTGCTATAAGGATGCCTAGTCTTTTTTCAAAAAAAGCTTTTGCATTAGTGCATACATTTTTATAAATATAATAATCATAAATACTTGTACAGTGCTTTTAATGTAGAGGACAGCTGCTAGGGAAAAGGAAAAGAAGCAAAGGTACAAGGTCAACAGCACAGAGTTACTTCAGAATAAACTGGAGAGGGACTGTGCTGGCACTAGAGACCAGAGCAACAGCTCTGTACAGGCAGAGGGGTCTTCTGCAGGGTCATGGAGAGGGAGTTGGGGCTACCTGCTAAGAACAGGCTCAGAAAGCACAAGTGGCAATGGCTGCCTACGGAGGAGGCTGAGATGGTGCGGGAGCAGGGGCTACCATCAGTGGCTGGGTTGGTAGTGTCAGGTGTCCCTGGGGCAGCTGGGCTGAGAGGAGGTGCCATGGAGGGGTCTGTGATCAGGATGTCGGCTGTCACATTCCTTCCGTATTCACAGTCATAGTTCTTCTGATCCACTCCCCTCAATCCTGTCTATTGGGCAGGGAAAACATGTCCTCCATTTGACGATGAAGATGCTCTGATTGGTAGCCTCACGGGGTGTAGTGAGTACGGGATCTCAGGCTGGACAGGCCTCCCTTTAGGCCCCTTTGAAACTGGGTCTCTAATTTACCTGACACCAAACAAGATTGAGGATCTATTTTAAGAATAAGATATCTTTTTGTTTAATTCTTTTTGTACTATTAGAGGTAGTACTTCATCGATGTCAGATGTGTTTCCTTTGACACCAGCTATTGATTTATTTCTACCACCCATATTCCTATAATGATAAGTCTAAAATAAACATTCATAACACTAGACTTTATATGTTGTGTATTTTTCATATTTAAATACACCAGACAAGAATTGCAAGACAAGTATAATGACCAACCTTATCAGTTTTGAATTTTTTTTTGTTTGTTTTTGCGGAACCAGGGCTTGAACTCAGGCGCTTGCGCTTGCCAGGGAAGTGCTTATTCTACTGAGCCATCTCCCTGGCTCTGTTTCTATCAGTTAACTAGAAACCAAATTAGAAATCTTTATTCTCTAAGAGGGATATTAAGTAGTATTAATCCCTCTGCTAGGTTATCTTCAGTTTTTGCTGCTCACTTAACTACTAAGCTCCTCTTCATGAGGAGGAGACTGAAGGTTTAGTGTCTGCAAAAATGAATTTGAGAAGTGCTCAATTCCAAATGCTTAGAGCAATATACATGAATGGCTGTGAAAGACCTAATCAGTTTGTTTAAACAGTCTTATCTCCTGGAGTATGTTCAATTTTTTGGTAACTTTAGACTCTTTCATTCTAATTATTCTATTAAAAAGCACATCTTTTTTAAAAAAGAGAATAAAACATTGAAAAAAGGAAGAGAACATTAGAAATGATGCAGAATTTCACAAAACAAAAAAAAGGAATTGAACAATGGCTGTTACATTGCATAATACTGCCTTCAAATTAGTTTTTTAGGACTGGGGAGATATCTTGGAGGTCTAAGCACCTTCCTGGCAAGCTCAAGGACCAGGTTTTGATCCCTGGCACTGCATGCCATGCCAGCCACCAAAACTGGGTATGGTGGCACATATCTATAATTCCAGTGCTGGAGAGGCTAGGATAGGAGAATCACCATGAACCCAAGTTGTGTAGCAAGATTCTGCACCAAATAAATAAATAAACAAATAATCTTTTAATTAAAAATATTTTTAAGAGACTGTAACTATATATCTATCCTAACCATTTTGAGTACACAGATACAAAATGGACATTCGTCTGCATCCCCTTTTTTGTTCAGTTCCGTCATTTGAATGTTATAGGTGTGTGAACTCAGCAAAATATTCTAAAAGAGTCCAGTAGTCCATAATGGTATTGGGTCTTCCACTTGACTGGCAGTGTCAGAAATTGTTGACCTGAGTCCTCTACAGCTCAACATAACAGCATGGCTTTACTTCTTATACTTTGTTTTTATACTTTTCTGCTGGGTGGTTAAGACCCAAGATAAAGCAGGACCTATGCAACCAGAGTTGTAGCTTTTGGATCTGATAAGGTCAGTGAAATCCCCTCAGGATTTATCCTGAGATCCTGTACCTCAGATTGTAGATCCTTTGTCAGTATCAGCCATGTGGATGAGTCATGGCCCTAGCCTTCCAATATCAATTTTGGCATATGAGAACTTGTACTGTAACATCATGTAACTCAGTAGTGTCCCAAATTTTCTGATCAAGGAGATTATGGGGCAAAGAGGAAAGTGATCGATGATGTAGAGTGTGCCTAAGGAGAGTCACATGGAGAGAAAACATTCTCTCAGGCTTTCACAGAGAGCACATTGGCTATATATATATATATATATATATATATATATATTTACATTCTCTTAATGAATAGAAGGATTTGTTCTAATAGTGTTTGTAAATAGGATATCATGTCTGCATCTTGTATAGCAAATAAACGCTAGGAAGAGAGTATGCAATGTGTTAATTACTGAAACTGTCCTACCAATTTGATTTGAAACTGTCTCATTGCTATATGTCTCTCAATAAAATTATGGGAAAAAAAGAAAAGAGCCACAACAGAAAATACAATAAAATTAAATAAATAACAATAAAAATATTTTTTAAAAAATTGTTTAGATCACCAGATGTAAGCATGCAAAATTAGTTTTAAAAAAGTTGTAAGACATTGAAAAGGAGAAGAAAGACACTGAAGCACTAACTACTCCTTTCAACTGACCAGGAGAAATCAGCAGTGCAAGTATCCCAGCTCGCCTGTGTATACACATATACATACATGTGTTTTTCCCTCCTTTCTTTGGTTCTTTTCCTCATCTCACTGATTTCCTCCTTTTGAACACATTCTTTCCCCTTCACAGTATCTATTATACCTTTCAGATTTTATTTACTCTTTCAGATTTTATTTACACTAGGGAGACAATATGATATTTACACATGAGGATCTGATTTATTTCACTTATGAATATGGTTTCTAATTGCATCCATTTACCTATAAAAGCTTTGAGTTTTTCTGCTTTTTTATGGCTGAGTAACACTCCATTGTATAAAAATACTACATCTTTTTATCCATTCCTCAGTTGATAGGCATTTGGGCTGTTTCCAGGATTTAGCTATGACAAATTACACTGCTATCACCATGGGGGCACATATGTTACAAGGTTATGATGTAAAGCAACACATCTTAGGGATAAGACTTTTCCTCTTTGCCTGGAATCCCTCTGTATCCACCATGTTTCCAGTGCATCTCTCAGTTAAATTCTACATTTGTTCTTATTCCTGTTAGAAAAGCTGTACCACCAGCCAGCTGTTTCTCAACCTGTATTATTTCCACTGCCTTCCTGGCCTTATACTCATTCTGTCTTTAGTAACAAACCAACCTGGATATTTCTACTAGCTTCCAACTCAATATGCTTATGACTCCAGTACCAAATAGTCCATTCAATAGGTGCTACTTGATTGACTAAACTTGCTAATAGCAATGATTCAAAATATTAACAGTGGGTAGCTTACTAGACCATGGGCTTGGTAACCTTGGTTTGTGTTAAAGTCTTAATTTGCTAAGCAGTTTTACCTGCACTGAGCTAGCTGATGCTACTGGGCTCTGACTCTGACAGGGGCTCAAGCAGACCCAGCTGTCACTGCAGTTCTGCACCTTCACTGGCTAGCAGAACACTTGCAGGGCAAGTCAGGCAAAGCATTGTTATTATTCATAGACATGTGAGAAGGAAACAGACGCCTGCGGCCCAAGAGGAGCTGGTACCTTGAGGCTCAGGAAAGTCACTGAGGATGATGGAGCCACCCTAGCATATGCTACACTTCACACAGCAGCCGTGGGACTTGGAACACCCCGTTCTTGGTTTAATCCCTGAGCAACTAGGCTCGCGGTGCAGAACGTCCTGTTCTGGGCTGTCCCGGGCAAGGCCTGCTTATCTCCAGATGGTGCCTTCTCAGCGTTCTGCAGTTATTCTGAGAACTACCGGTGGGAGGGCTGCAGAACTGCGCTGGCTGAGGCTACCCAGGCACCTGGTGTCCTGCCCTTGGCTCTGTGAAATCATGGCAGTTCTAGAGCATCCACTACCTTTGTAGTAAGAAACAGTCACCTACAAGATCAAGGTGACCGAGATGATGCAGATTAGATGAAAGGTCATCTAAACAAGACCGCTGCTAAGCTTTGGGCTGGATTCTTAAGAAATTCTCATTTTTTCTTCCTTCCAGTTTTATGTTACATAGTTACTGATAATGACTTTTCATATTCTCCATGTAGTTGGGGTCGCCTCAGAGACTTCCCAGGTCAAAATCCCTGCGTCCTCCACACTTGCATCAACAGGTACGAAAAGACTTGCCTGGGAAGTGAGGTCAGAGATACATCTACACGAGAGAAAACCATAGAGTCACTTCAGGAGATACTGAAGCATAAGACAAAGGACAGGAAGTGATTCTCTTTCTAGGTGTGTGATCTTGAGCAATTTGGGAGCCAGACCTGAGTCTATGTCCTTCTCTTGAATTGCATTATTTTGTAGGGAACACTGAGGATTGAATATAGGACCTTGTGAGACAGGTGCTTATGCTGCTGAGCCATCTTCTGAGCCCCTCCATCTCCTTCTCTAAAGTGAATAGAGTATCCTTGCTGGGATAGCAAATGAACAGTTTTCAAAAAGGGAGACATAGGGCTGGGGAGATGGCTCAGTGGAATAAGCACTTCCCTGGCAAGTGTAAGGGCCTGAGTTCAATCCCCGGTTCCGCAAAAAAAGAAAAAAAAAGGGAGACATAATATACAAAAAGTGAATGGTAAGACTCTAGACACATTTACGTTCAGTTGTCCCCTATATCACAAATTTACAATTATAATTGTAAGGGCCAGTGTGTTAGAAAACATTCAAACTAATAAGTATAGACATTCTGGATATCAGGACATGACTAATTATTATTTGTAAGCATAGAATCAAAACCTAGATGTGTTGCTATAAATCTAGTGTATTTTGTATATTTTTGCCCATCTGTGCAGTTAAATTTTGTCCTTGTTGGGGGTGCATTGGGGTCCTCCATAAATGTTTATACAGGGAACAGGGATACACAGTATGGAGTAGAGGTGGGAAAGGAATTGGGGGATGGGAGGAGACAAGGGTGGGAGGGGAAGGGGAGGGGAAAAGGGTCACAATGTGCTACATATATGTACCAGTTCCCTTCCATGTATTTGTTATTATGTATCTAAAACATTCTAATTTTAAAAATACTGGGTGCAGAACCATTTTTTTTTCTAACTGGAAGTTTTAAACCACAATTTGTCATTTAAATTGAAGATGACAGTGGTTTGTTTTAGTTATGTGTGCAACAGACTCAGAGTCAGAGAAGAGAAAAGAAATAGCTCTGACACCAGGGGCCAGTCTCCCCTGGCCCTCTCCTTCGTGTCACTGGTAGCCTGGGTGGAGGTGAAGCTACTGAATGGTACAGGGAGGTGCTCAGGCTGTGTGGAAGACAGAGCACGCAGGGGGCAGTGTGTGGTGACTCCTCACTGTCTTGTGCTGCCAGTTGGTGGCCAGGCAGTGGCAGCCCCTACAGGGGCCCACTTCAGGGCGGGATCTAGGATGATCCTGCTGGGTGACAAAGTGTGCAGGCAGTGAGAGATACCTGGGGCAGTGTGTGCACAGGGATGAGGCTGGGCATAACCACGGGCACCTGGAAGATGTCGGCGTGGTCTGCACAGGCAAGAGGCTGTTTATCTTCCAGGACTTCACTATGTTACATCAGCCATCACTAATATAAATCATTGAATAAACATTCAAGTTGCCTCATGCATCTCGGTATACTGAGCTCTCTCCGCCAGCAGGTGCAGATGGCTCTCCAGCCCTCGCCCGCATCACAGAGCCGGAAGCTACACCACTGTCACACATGCTTGCAGGTCAGTCCAATCTTCAGGTAGCTCACTATAGGGAAACACATTCTTCCAAAATTCATTTTGTCAAGTCATGGTACAGCTCTTCCTAGGATAGAAGAATAAAAACTCCTTCTATATCATAGCCAAATGGATATGTTCTTCTGAACATGTCTGTAGATAAGAATAAACAGAATGAGTTGTTCCTGCAGTGGAATAATCAAGGCATTAAGGTCTCTTCACCCATCCCCCTATGAGTTGTTAGAAAATATCAGTAGTCCTCAAATAACTCATGGGCCCTAATCTAACTTGTGAAACTCTAGTATCATCTCCCATGGAGCAAGGCTGCTATTTTACTTTTTTTTTTTTTTGTCATCAGTTATTTTATTTTAAAGAAAAAAATTAAAACAATGGTACAAAATCTCAAAACAAGATTTTAGGAGAGTAACAATGGTTAGTACATTGTGTATTGTTACTGCCAAAGTAGTTTCTCATATTGTAAGGTATAGGCAAGAAATAATAAATAAACAACATAGGTACAAACCTCTGTTTTTTT